CTTCAAAGTATAACTTCGTACCTAAGGCCATAGGTGTATTGCAACTATGAGCTTCCAAAATATTTGTTTTTGTCAAAAGATCAACTGTATATTTTGTTTGACTAAGATGAATACTATTGTTGTCTCTATAAGCTTCCAATCCCAGAAAATAATGAAGAGAGCCTAAATCTTTCAGAGAAAATTGAGCATTGAGACATTGAACCCGTTTCTAAACTAACTTACTATCAAGACTAGTAAGTAGAATATCACCTAGATGGATCAACACATAAAGAACTTTGTCATTTGTGTTAAGAATAAACAAGCTGGAGTTTGATTTTGAGTTGACAAAACCCCAATCAATCAAAGATGCCTTCAATTTTTCATACCAAACTCGAGGAGCTTGTTTAAGACCATACAAAGCTTTCTTCAATTTGCAAACATAGCCAGAATTTGTAGAATCAATAAAGCCTTCAGGCTAAAACATATATACTTCTTCTTACAGTTCACCATTTAGAAAAGCATTATTCACATATATTTGACAAATCTCCCAATTATATGTCACAACAAGAGTCAAAATCACTCTGATTGTGGCAGTTTTAACTGCAAAACTAATAATCTCAAAATAATCAAGTCTTGCAGTCTATTGAAAACCTTTGGTAACAAGCCTAGCTTTGTATTTCTGGAAAGTTCCATTAGGATTATATGTCAATCTAAACACTCACTTGTTTCTTACTACATTCATATATGCAGTATAGGGTAATAATGTCTAGGTATTGTTCTGAATAAGAGCAATGTACTCAGCTTGCATGGCTTTTAACCAGTCTGGATGAGTTAAGGCTTCAAAAACAGAGGTAGGTTTTGTAGGATTTTGAAGACTAGATACATAGGCTTTGTTGTGTTAATGATGTTACCATGCAAAGCAAGTTGCAACATTAAGCAAATTCATGCAGGTTTTTAAGTCTTTCTACAATAAATTAGTTAGAGCTAGTTGGCTTTTGGAGCCAGTATTTCAGTTCAACACGTTATGTGTTTTCTAACAAAATGCAAGTGGCAGCTCAAGTGGTAGAGCAAGTTGCAGATCTAATGGTGGAAGATGACATTTGAAGAATAAGTTAAACGGAGAAGATTGTGTGAAAGATCAAGTGGTTGTGTATAAATAAGGTTCATGCATGGAAAATTTTTCTGATAGAAAGTAATATAAACACATATTCTTCATACTCTGTTTTTTTTCTGCATTTACTCTTTTCTTTACTGTTACTCTTATCTTTACATGGTATCAGAGCATACCGATAGACGTCAATGGCAGATCCTAAGGCATCTTTTTCTTCAGCTTCAGTTGTAGACAAAGTGACAACAACCTCCACGTCAACCTCACCTTTAAGTAATATGCTTCCAACTGTTTATGTAAAACTAGGAGAAAGAAACTATGCATACTGGAAATCTCAGGTGCTTCTAGCCTTGAAAGCTTATGATCTGGAAGGTTTCATAACAGGTGAAAAATCCTATCCCTCGTCCTTTATTCTCGTTGATGAATCCAAAAGAAAAGTAAATTTTGAATATATAATGTGGAAGAAAGTTGATCAGTTCTTGTTTGGTTGGTTAAACTCATCAATATCTGAAACAATGTTTCGGCATGTAGCAAACTGTAATATTGCGTATGATATATGACATACCTTAGAGATGCATTTTCTTACTAAGTCTAAGGCTAGAGTGTTGCATTTAAGAAATCAATTACAAACAACTAGGAAGGATAACTTAAGTATAAACAACTATGTGCTAAAGATGAAAGAAATTGCTGGCTTCTTAACCACCAATGGCGTAACTGTTAGTGATGAAGAGCTACTGCTTTACATTCTTGATGGCCTTGGCTCTGAATATGATGCCATGGTTGCCACCTTAACGTCAAGAAGTAACGAAGTATCCTTACAGGAAGCGTAGTTTCTACTACACAAACACGAAATGAGGCTAGAAAAGCAACATTTAACTTACTTAGGCTTTCATGAAGCTGTAGCATTCTTGCTCACAAACAATCATCTTTTCCACCCTAAAATGTGCTAATGAACAACAATATAGATCAACAAATACCACAAGACTCACAAACTCTACATTCACATCAAGATGAATACAAGAATACCTATGAGAGGACTCAATAGTTTCAAACCTTCAATCCAGCCTTTGGCAGGGGCAGAGGTAGAGGACGAAACTTTTACAAGCCGCGACTGATTTGCCAGTTATGTGGAAAGCCAAGTCATATGGCTCTTCAATGCTATCAACGATTCGACACAAATTTTCAAGGACATCAAAATCACCGACCTCAGTTTAGCATGCACTACGGCAATCCACAACAGTCCATACAACACGTAGGTCCTACACAGGCCTACTTTGCAAATACAACAAGCTCATATGCTCCTTATGGCACACCACAACCCTTCTCTCTTATTTCACTAGTGATTCCTCATCAAATGCAGTTTCAGAATACCTCACATCTGAATCAGTCTTCTCCTCTTAACCCGAATCAATCTTCTACAATAACCTCTCCTGGTGGAAATAAAAAAAATTCAACCGCAACACCACTTACAATGACTGATCCTACCTGGTTCATTGACTCTGGAGCCACTCACCATATTACATCAGATCCTCAACATCTTCCTTATAAAAATCAGTATACAGGATCGGACTCTCTTCAGGTTGGCAACGGTTAATGCCTTAACATTTCACACACAGGTTTGGCATTTATCCATTCTTCTTGTGTAAATAAATCCTTGCAACTTAGAAATATATTTTGTGTTCCCCAAGTTACCAAGAATCTCCTTAGTATTTCCAAAATTACAAGAGATAATCATGTGGTAGTTGAATTCTCTGCCGATGAATGTGTTGTTAAGGACAAGCTAACCTAAGAGATCTTGCTTAGAGGAACTATGCACAATGGTCTCTACCAACTTACCATTTCTTTAGATTCTGCCGACAATAAACAAGTCACAAGTTTAGCACTGACTTCTGCTCAAACTTCAAATTCAATGAATAAACATGCTATGGTTTCTTCTCTACATCAGTCTGTGGATCATAACTCCTCAGTAACCTATGTTACTCCTTCTGGTTGCTCTAGTGTTTTACCTTCAGATTCTGATATTGTGTATAATCCAACAAGTTGTTTGGTCACTTGTACTTCACCTAGTATACCTGCAAATAATGTTGAGCAAACTAGTCCTACACAAGACAGAGATTTGTGGCACAACAGACTTGGTCACCCTCATGTAGCTGCTCTCAATTCTCTTGTTTCACATTTGAATTTAAAGGATCACTCTATTAATAAAGTTTAGTTCTGTACAGCATGTCAGTATGGTAAACTTCACCATAATTCTTTTCCTCCATCAGCTTCTCAATCAAGCCAACCTTTTGAACTTGTTTTTGCGGATGTATGGGGCCCTGCACTTGTTACCTCAGCCACTGGCTTCAAGTATTATTTACTATTTGTTAATGATTTCACATACTACTCTTGGTTTTATCCTTTAAAACTGAAATCTGAGGTACATAATATTGTTCAACAATTTGTTGCATTAGTGACTCAACAGTTTGATGGCAAGATCAAGACCTTCCAGTTAGATTGGGGAGGTGAATTTCATCCTCTTGCTGAGTATTTTGCTCAGCAGGGTATTCACTTCAGACATCTCTGCCTTTATATCCATCAACAAAATGGAAAGGTTGAGCGGAAACACAGCCATATGACAGAAGTTGGATTAACGTTGTCAGCTCAAGCATTTATGCCGCTTAAGTATTGGTGGTTTGCCTTCCACACTGCTGTGTATCTAATAAATCTTCTTCCCTCTACAGGTATATCCCATATCTCACCTTTTCAAAAGCTTTTTCATAAAGTTCCAGACTATAAAGCTATTTGTACTTTTGGATGTCAATGTTTTCCTTTCCTTAGACCTTATCAACAATGTAAATTTTCTTTTCACTTAGAACAGTGTGCTCTTTTGGGTTATGGTTCTCATCACAAGGGTTATCTCTGTCTCAATGCTCATGGCAAAGTTTACACGGTTCAGACTGTTAAGTTCAATGAGCAAATATTCCCTTTTGCCAATGGTTTTTCACTTACCAATTCTGATGTATCTACAAATGCTGATTCTTGTTTTTCGTCTCAGACCTGGAAAATTCCTCATATGTCATTGATTCATTAGCCTTTGTCTCAAACTACTTCAGCTCCTTCAACCTCTTTGTCTGATGTTGAGCCATCTACCCATAACACTCCCATTATACCTTCACCTACTTTCTCTCCTCCAAAACCACTTGTACCATGTTTGGAAGTTGATTTCCAAGCCTATAACACTCCCTCTCAGCCCTCCCATATTTCTACACTAAATGTCCATCCTATGCTCACTCGTAGGAAAGCTGCTGCCCTTATCTCTGAATGCACAACCATAGTTCCTGTTCCCTCCCTTTCCTCTAAGATTCATAAAGAACCTTCATCTGTCACTACCGCATTACACAATCCTCTTTGGGTTCGGGCCATGGATGCTGAGTTTACTGCACTACAAAATAATCACACCTGGACTTTAGTCCCTTATACTGATAATATGACTTTAGTTGGTCATAAATGGGTTTTCAAAGTCAAGTTAAATGTTGATGGCAGTCTCCAGCATTACAAAGCACGCCTTGTGGCTAAGGGTTTTCATCAAACTCCCGGAGTTGATTTTTCAGAAATATTTTCTCTGGTTGTTAAGGCATCCACCATTAGAGTCATCTTATGCTTAGCCGTGCACAATGGGTGAGAGGTCCAACAAGTAAACGTAAATAACGTATTCCTAAATGGTGACCTTACTGAAGCTGTTTTCATGACACAACCTAAGGGATTTATTGATCAATCTAAACCTTATCATGTTTGCCAATTGCACAAAGCTTTATACGGCTTAATACAAGCTCCTAAGGCCTAGTTTGATAAGCTTAAAACTGTGTTGTTGAGCAAAGGTTTTCAGAACTCCACCTCTGATTCTAGTCTCTTTTATCTTATTAAAGATGCCATGATTATTTATATTCTTGTTTACGTTGATGATAAACTATTAACTGGCAATAACCCCTCCTTCATTCACTCCATCGTCTCAGCTTTGGATACTAAATTTGGTCTAAAGATTTTTGGTTCTGTTCATTATTTCTTGGGCATCTCTGTTGTTCATACCTCATATGGGTTACAACTTAATCAAGCCAAATATGCTCAAGAAGTTCTCTTCAAATTTGGCATGAAAGACTGCAACCTATGTGCCACTCCTATGGTTCTTGGTTCCAAGTTACACTTTGAGGATGGTCTTCTCTTCGAACAACCTTCCCTCTACAGAAGTCTCATTGGTGCTCTGCAATATCTTACCATAACCAGGCCTGACCTCTCTTTTGCTGTAAATAAACTCAGCCAATTTCTCAAAGCTCCCACTATCACTCATTGGCAAGCTTGTAAGAGAGTTCTCCGATATGTTCAAGGTACACTCACTCATGGTCTAACCTTTCACCGCAGTTCCACACTTCATCTTGAGGGTTATACGTACGCAGACTAGGCTAGCAATCTATCCGACCGCAAGTCTACCAGTGGGTACTACCTTTTCCTTAGTTCTAACTTAATACAGTAGGGCTCTAAAAAGCTACAAGTCGTTGCTTTATCTTCCACTAAAGCTGAATACAAAGCTTTAGCTCAGGCCTCTATTGAAGTTGCTTGGCTTCAAAATCTATTCCAGGAGCTTCAAATTTCTATTCCAAGTTTGCCTGTCCTCTAGTGCGACAACACCAGTGCCGGTGCTCTTGGTTCCAATCCGGTCTTCTATGTTCGTAAAAAACACATCGAAATAGATGTCCATTTTGTACGCGAAATGGTTCAGTCTAAATGACTTATGATGCAGTATGTTGCTTCTAAATTTCAGGTTGCAGACATTCTTACCAAGCCTTTCTTTGGTCCTCAGTTTCAGACTCTTCGTGATCATCTTCATGTGTTTAGCTCTTCCTCTGTTCTTCAGCTTAGGGACAAGCTTCACCACCTAAGGAAACTCTAAACACAGATGATAAAAGCACACACTAGTTTCTTCTTAAAGGACGACATGCAAGTTTGTTTTTACAGAAGAATTTTTTTTTGCTTAAAGTTTTGTTTGAGGGACGATGTTAACGATGTTACCATGCAAAGCAAGCTGCAACATTAAGCAAATTCATGTAGGTTTTTAAGTCTTTTTACAATAAATTAGTTAGAGCAAGTTGGCTTTTGAAGCCAGTATTTCAGTTCAACACGTTATGTGTTTTCTAACAAAATGCAAGTGGCAGAGCAAGTTACAGATCTAATGGTGGAAAATGATAGCTGAAGAAAAAGTTCAACGGAGAAGATTGTGTGAAAGATCAAGTGGTTGTGTATAAATTGTAGTCATTGTCAAGGTTCATGCATGGAAAATTTTTCTGATAGAAAGTAATATAAATATGTATTCTTCATACTTTGTTTTTTTTTTTTTTTTTTTTTCTGCATTTACTCTTTTCTTTACTGTTACTCTTATCTTTACATTTTGTAACTAGGAATACAAGATGTTTTAGACCTGGTACGCGTTGGATGAGAAGTGGTAGATGATGGCAATTGAGAAGATGTTTTTGAGGATGGTGTAGGGCTAGGTAGAACAACTTCAAGTGGAATAGTAGGATATTTAGAAGTGGCAGAGCTAGATGTGGAGGTCTTAGGAATGGATGAAACAACAAGTATGGATATTGAAGATATTGGAGAGGTAATTGATGGAACAGCCAAAGAAGGATTTCTTGTTGCAAAATCAGAATTCCAAACTTATTGTAAATATACACCAGAAACATTAGTAAAATCAACAAAATGTGAATTAAAGAAATAGTTTGTTCAAAAATCAGCATTTGTGGAGAAAGGAAAAGAATTCTCATCAAACTTAACACTAGTTGCAATAGAAACTTTTCCATCTTCACTTAAACATTTAGACCACTTATGAAAAAGACTGTATCCTATGAACACACATTTGCTAGTATGGAAATGAAATTTATGCTTGTTATAAGGCCCCAGATAAGGATAACAGACACAGCCAAAAACTTTTAAGGAGTTGTAATAATGTTGAGTTAAATAATACTTGATGTGGACAATGAAAACCAAGAACTAAGGAAGCCAATTTGTTTACCAAAAACACTGCAGTTTGAAAACTTGAACTCAATTGTTTTAGAGGCATGGAAACTTGAGTTAGTCAGGTCAATTCCAACTCCACAATTTGTTTATGTTTTCCCTCAACTCTTCCATTCTATTGATGAGTATATGAACAAGGATGTCTGAATTGAATGCCTTGAGTTGTTAGGTAAGGAACAAGACTTCTATATTCACCTCCCTAATTTGATTGTAAAGTCTTAATCTTTGTACCAAATTATGTCTCAGCCAATCTATGAAACTTTTGAACAAATGCCTTTGTTTTAGATTTTTCTTTGAGAGGAAACATCCACACAAATATGATGTAATCATCTACGAAGTATACATAATATTTAAAATCTTTAGTAGAGGTGACAGGAGTTGGTCCCCACAAGTCAGAATGGATAAGTTCAAGAGGAGCATTAGCCTTAGAATTAGAACAAGGGAAAGGAGATTGATTTAGTTTTTCAAATTGACAAGCTAAACACACAATGTCTTAATTAACTTGGGACAAGTTTACATTCATTTGTTGCAAGATAGTCTTCAAGGTAAGAGTATTAGGATGTCCTAGTTTCATATGCCACAACTTACTAGACAAATCTTTATTACATTCAGTAGACTACTTTGAAACATTGCAAATAAAAGAAACTGCTAAATCTTTATCTACTACTGCATTATATTTCTCAAGATGACAAACTAAAGTGGCTACTTTATTTTTGGAGATCAATTTGTTCTTTAGTTGAATTGAAAGTTGTTGGAGCAATCTCTATTGCAAGATAGTTTTCAAGGCAAGAGCATTAGGATGTCCTAATCTCATATGCCACAACTTACTAGAGAAATCTTTATTACATTCAGTAGACAACTTTGAAATATTGCAAATAGAAGAAATTGCTAAATCTTTATCTACTACTATATCATGTTTTTCAGGATGACAAACTAAAATGGCCGCTTTATTCTTGGAGATATCAACTTGTTCTTTAGCTGAAGTGAAGTTGTTTGAGCAATCTTAAACTGTGTTTAAGACAATGACATGGTTTGAAATAGAGGAATGTCTAGTAACTAGAGTTGGAATAGTTAGCTGGTACATGCCCAGATTATGTGTTCTTTGTAGAAGGATGATATTAGACACTTTATCTTTAACAACACAACCATCAGAAGAAAATTCAACAATAACATTGTTATCTATTGTAATCTTATAAATACTCAGCAAATTTTGAGTGACTTGGGGTACACCTAAAATGTTTTTCGAGTGAACATACATATTTCTTAAAGAACTTAGAAAACTTGTATTCCTTGTATGAGAGATAGATAGATTCTCACCATTTCCAACTTGTAGTTGAGCTGAGCCATGATAGTTGTTTGAAGATTGAAGTTGATTTTTGTCAGGTGAGACATGATCAGTGGCTCCAAAATCCATATATCATATTAAATCCTAATGTGAATATGATTATAGATTGATGGTGTGAGCAACATATAAGACTTGTGAAGTGGTGTTAGTGCATGGATTGTACTGAGAAGATGATTGAGAATTGGCAGTTGAGACTGAGTTTTCTGTAATGAATCTTGATAATGATATGGAGAATATCCAGGTGTGCAAATAAGTTAGGATTGCTTGGAAAGCCCAAAAAATGAACCACTAGAAGAATATCCAAAACCATTTGAACCTTGAAGATTCATAGGAAACCTTGCTAGAAAGTTTGAGGTAGCTCTTTGAAAATTATTTTCTTGATGATTAAAATTGTAAGTATTTTGTCAACTTATGAGTTTAGTGTGGTAACACTGTCTTAGTGTGGGGACTTCATTTTGATTCATGCACAATCATTTCGGTTTCATTTCCAGTGTCATGACTCTCTGTCAATGTGACCACACTCAGTTATTTCTGTTTTCATACATGTCGTGTGGGCATGTCAAATCTGTGTGATGACACTCATCTGCTAGGTATTTTTCACAACACATATTGTGTTCTTTATTCATTGATTTATTCTTTGTTGAGATATGTGTTTGTGATCCATGTACACTTGTCATCAATTCATTAGGTGTACTGAAATATTCGTTTTGCCATTTCCATGGTCCATAACAAAGTTTGTGTGAACTTTCCTAAAAAGGCAAAACCAAAAAGTAACTTGTTGGCTGCTTTATCCCTCATCTTTATGCGCTTGTTTTCTATATATTCTATTTGCAAATGCATTTCAATTTGAGAATATACCTCTGTATCGTCTCTAAATATTTGTTAAGGTTCTTTTGTTTTGGACTTGGTTTCTCTATGCTTTGGTAGGCTTAAATTACCTTCTTAACTCTCTTTTGTTTAAGTTGTTTTTAGGAACGTTGGTTCCATGGTTGCTACTTGGACGTGTTCAAGCTGCTGAAACTGAAGTGCTCTTTCGACGTTGAACCTTGAGAGGAGCTCAAGGGTGACCAAATGATCTTGTGAAGTGAAGCTTGCTATGGTGGCTTGATGTTTAATCAAAGAGTGAAGATTGAAGTGTTGACTAAATAGGGAGTGTTTTGCAACTGATACTTGTCTTTAGCTTTGTATTTGAACACATAAGTATTTCATAGTGGATTTGCTTCTTCTGGACTTGGTCCCATAGATGTAGGCAAGTTTCCGAAATATGTAAAAATGAGTTGTATTCTTTATTTTATGTCATGGATGATTTACTTATGTTGATTATCCTTTAAACAACTCATTAAGCACAAAATGAACAAATGAACCCATTCTGCTTAAGTTTAACAACTCAGTAATGTTTAATACTTTCAAAAATCAAATCAATGGCTGCATTACAAAGCTCATGACCAACTTTATTACATAATTGATACATAGGCTTTTCTCTACCAAAGTTTTTACCTCTTCCTTTTCCACCAGATAGAAAACCAGGAGTAGTTTGTGGTAAAGGGAAATAGTTGTAGGGTAATGATAAGGATCATGATAATGTTGTGGTGCGAAAGGAGAGTGTGGAAGTTGTGATTTTGATGGGAAACTTTGAAAGTTTTGTGAGGCTAAATGAAAGGAACTACCAGAAGAGTTACCAAACATATTGCTGTTATTTACAATGACAATGGTGACATTGTGAGCTGACCTTACATGAGAGTCCATTGGTAACAAGGAATTTAGACTATTGTGCTTCTCAAGTCAAAGTTCATACTTTTGTAACAGAAATTAAGTTTCTTGAATAGAGATGGAACCAACTCTAGACTAGAGACTAAATACAACAACATCAAACTCATATCCTAAACCATCTAGGATGTATGACAACAATTCTTCATCAGATATAAATTGACCACTAGAGATAATTGACTTGCAATTTCTTTCATTTTCAAAATAAAGTCACTCACACTTAGATTTTCTTTGGTTATGGACTGTAATAAACTCCTCAAATGCATCATTTTTGCCTTTGATTCAGACAAAAATTCACACTCTAGAGTACACCAAATATATGAAGAAGAAGTACATTTTGAGATATGACCAAACATAGATTCAAAAATTGAGGCTAAGAGCTAGTTAACTGAAGCTTTGTCAACTCGTTTCCAAATTGTGTAGTTAAGGTTTGTGACTTTCTTGAACATTGTTGTTTCACTAAAATTAACACTAGTATCAAGTTTTTCATTAATGAAAAGAGGAGGACATGGATCTAACCTGACTAGATGATTTTCGAGCTCATGAGCTCTAACAACAAATAACACTTTGTATAGGCCAAAAATCGTATTGGACTTGACGAGATCCAATAACGAAATAAGCATACTACAACCCAGTGCCTTAACCCAATTCTGGTTGGGCCTACGCTTAAATCCATCTTGTGAAATGACCACTAGATGAATTGGGCTATGAAGAGAATAATGGAATTCTTAATTCTTATTAAACATGACTAAATACAAAGAATTTAC